GGCACTGGGGGGTCAGGCGCCACCGGGGAGCGCCTGACTTTGCTTCTTTAGTTTGTTGTTTTGGTTTTTTTTTGTCTTCAAACCAGTTTGAGTAGGCTTAGTTCCGCTGTATAAATGAGTGTCGAGCCGCCTCTACGTGCCGCTTGAGCGCTGCCAGGGGCCGGGGCCCGGGTGGGGCCCGCAGCTTGCTGCTCAGTGCTCGCCAGAGGGCTACGTCATGATTTTTTGTGAAAGACTGACTTTCTTAACTCCATCAGTAATCAATATAAAATACTTGTCATCCCACTTGAGCGATTTTAATATTAATCGCTATATTTGGGGGAATATCATTATATTCCACAATTGCCTTATATTGGGGAACTGCACTGCCAAACATCCACAAATTTTTAGAAGGAAGACTTCATAGGAATTGGATGGTCTTTTTACACAGGTAAAGGTGATAGACATTGATGAGTTGGATCAAATGGGTTTGCCTTAACAAACATCTCTCATTGCAATTATCTATAATGTGCTTTTAACAGCAGTCGACTACTGGAGTAAATGTGAACATTTCAGACAAAAAACAGTCATAGCATCAAGGATATGGAAACTACACAGGGTCAGTATCAAAATTACTTGGAACCAAGTTATTTTAACACTGGTGATTTCTAGCCCTTTAGGTTTTTAGGACCAGTCTAAATACAGGGGTGTAGGTTTTGTTTTTAAACAATAGCATCTGAATTAGAGGAACCTGGTAAACTGTGGTTGTGTTTACAGGGCATCCCATGCACTGCAGTGTTTTGCTGGCTTTCCAGTGCCACATGAGACCAAAAAAAAAAAAAATTACTCAGAGGAAATCTGGAAGACAAGACATAGGTGACCAGTAAAAACATGTCCATGCAATCTCTGCTAGACACTGCAGCAACTTATTGTCTCTTGACAGGTAAAGAAATAGGACGTGGGAATCACACCTGGAAATTAGTAACTGAGAATATTTTGGAGACAATACAAACCCCCTTTTAAATGGAAAGAACAAAAAAATAA